GTGTGGGAGGTTACTGAGATTATCATAATTTAATAAATATACTTTAAGAGCTTTTTGCCATCCATACAAAAATTACATTTGTTTTTATAAAATAGTTCCGGTATAAAAATTAGAGCTGTTTTATTGCCTACAGTATAAGATATTATAAGGGGTGCGCCGGAAAATTTAATTGAACTTCAGTCTTGTCTCTAAGAGACCAAGACAATGGGCATGGAAACTTTTTCAGACGGTCGTTGACTTGGTCAACTTAGTTTGCTAAGTGATGTACCTAGAACATTATGGTTCTAGGTTTAAAGAATCTTTATTCTCAATAATAACATACATGCCACTTACTTGAGAACATAACAACATAGGTATGTAGGTTAGGTTAGGCTCGACAACATCTGGACAAAACATGACAACAAATAAGTCCCATCCAACACATTCATTTTTCGGGTATTTGATTAAGAAGTAAGTATTTGTAAAGCTGAGTTTTGAATGCGTTGAATGAGTGCAGGTTTCTTATGCGTGAAGGTATTTTATTATAAAGCTGTGCTCCTTCAAATGTGAGCATTTTTTTGCCATAATTTGTTCTTATTTTTGGTAAAACCAATAGACTTGCTCGCCGGGTACTTCGTTGAGTGACTTGTTTGTGTTGTGTAAGAGTAATATTTGAATGTATGGTTTTGTTAAGAACTTTTTTGATAAAAATGCATATGTTGTAAGTGTATAATTGTTTTATATTCATTAGTTTTGTATCTTTGTATATCTTTGTCGTTGCTGTTAGGTACGGATAGTTGAAGAGCATTTTTATCAGTTTATTTTGTGTGATTTGTAGTTGCGACAGTTTTGTTTTTGGTGCACTGCCCCATATTTCAATCAAGTATAACAAATGTGGCTTCACTAAAGAATTATATATAGTGTACCGTAATCTTTGTGGAATACATCTGACTATACTGTGAAGTGCTCCGACTAATGACGAAAGCTTATTTTTGACGTAGTCAATGTGAACAGTCCACGAGAGGGAGCTATCTATTCTAAGCCCAAGATATTTTTCGCAGGATTTTAGCTGTAACGGCTCATTATTTATTGTAAGTGGATTAAATGGGGGAATATGTTTATTTTTTGCTTTATATATTACATAGCATGTTTTCGAAGTGTTTATTGTTAAAAGGTTGAACTGAAACCAGGTAAATAGGGAATTTAAATCCTCTTGGGCTTGTGAGACAATGTCATGAATCGAAGGCCCAAAGTAAAATAGACATGTGTCATCGGCATATAAGGTAAGATGACCGTGTAGTTTTGTATCATTTATATGTATTATTGATATATATAAGGAAGAGTAAGGGACCCAAAATGGATCCTTGTGGAATACCAAATGTTACAGGTCTTGCGTCACTCTGATAATTACCCAATTTCCAAGTTCTAATATCTTAACAACAATTATTGCAATTTATTTGGCGGCTACTTCAACAAATCCAACAATATTGAATGCCTAGTTGATTGCACAAATTGAGGCATCCCTTCGATTCAAGATGTCACATTACGAATCCACATATCAGGTAAGATGATGAAATTATAAATTTCTCTCATCCATTCGTTAAAAGGCCACTTCGGTGAAGAATAATCCGAATCGAGGATCCCAAATGTCAATGAGAGGATTACAATGCGTATGCGCAGTTCATTATTCATTATTATCAGTGTTGCAAGTGAGAATATTTGGGGAAATTGTTCGATACTTGCACAAACCGAATAAGTGGATGTGCGGGTTTAATATATCAGGATTCGACACTTATATTGAAATGCGAAAATGTAAATAAATTATAATGACACGTTCAGCGCCGTCGATTGCGATTTCATCCTGTATATGTGTTAATGTTTTTTTTATTGCTTCTACAAAATTGAGTTTAATAACAGGGTTATTTGGTCACAAACTATTGTAGTGTGGAAGAAATACACTTTGATTACAAAAATAACGACTATAAATGAATGTCGTCATGACACCTGTACTTTAAATTAAAACTACATCTAAAAACTCGTATTCTAAATCTATTTTCAGTGTAGGCAACTAATCAAATCAATAATTATTTATATAGCAATCGTTTTGCATATAATTTGCACTAAAACCCATTACCATTTATTATATTTGTTCTAATAACTGTCACCTACATATCGTGATATGATTACAGGCCTCAAACCATAGGAGTCTCATTGTAGACCAATTGATTTTGAATTCTGTGCAGAAGGTTTTAAGGTGCAAAATGAAACTGGATTATTGTGTTTGAATGCCCAAGGGCAACAGCTGTCAAAGAAAGCTTGTCGATACTTGATTTGATTGAGATGCAGTTATGTGATTTTGTTGTTCAAGTTTAAGAGCAAGTATATGAAGCTCTGTAATTATTTTTTGCACATATCATATTTTATGAATACGTCTGTAATATTAGTAGGCTGACACCTACCCATTATATTTTGTAAGTTTTAAACTGAGATCTATTGTAAACTATGCCTGTACACCGGTTTCACAATTTAAATCTTCATAATACATTACTCAACACAGAATTCAAACTTTTGCTCACACAGATTATATTTATAAGTATTTATTACTGACTAGCTTTTGCCTGCGACTTCGTCCGCGTGGAATAGTGACTTCCGGCAGAAAAGTATAGATAGCTGTGCCCGCGACTCCGTCAGCGTGTAACTCCTTGTGTATTAAGTGAATGGAGTAACTTCTCCCGTTTTTGCAATATTTCCCTTCACTGCTCTGCTCCTATTGATCGTAGCATAATGAAAAGTATACTATAACCTGCCCAAGAGTATAAAGAATAATTGTGCCAAATTTCGTTAAAATCCGTCGAGTAGTTTTTGTTTCCATAACGAACATACAGACAGACAGACAGACAGACAAAAATTTTACTGATTGCATTTTTGGCATCAGTAGCGATCCCTAACCACCCCTTGATAGTTATTTTTTAAATATATTTTATGTACAGAATTGACCTCTCTACAGATTTATTATAAGTATAGATTGTAATTCAATAAAGAGGTTACTATATCCACTTTCTCAATTCAAATGTCTATTTTTAGAACCAAAATTTATTGAAATAAAGTAGGTACTTACAAAAAAGCGATGAAGAGAAAATCCTACGATCTTACCCCTTTTTAACTTGTGACTGTAATGAAATTTAGATGACTATCGCATTACTGGAATTTCTATTGAAGAAGTTAGTTGTAATCTTATAACGAACAGTTTGTTAGTCCAAAAATATTTTTAGAAATGAAAATCATGGTCTTTTTGCAATCAAAACTGGAATGTCGTGAATGGTAGAAGTTATTTTTAGCTCAACTTTTGAAGTGGATGCTGGGAGATTAATATCAAAAGAATACGATTCCTGTTCGTCTTTTTTTTCGAGATAAAACTTCACTGTTTGCCTTTGTCGGAATATCATTCATAGAAAGTTTCTTTTATGTGTGTTTATTTTTGTCTGTTCTTGAAATATTTTATGTAATTATATTCTGTTCGGTGAAAGAGATGTAGGTACTACTATATTACAATTATTATACTAGATTACAAGTCTATCTTCTAGATTAAAAATTATCTCATTAACGTTGTTCAATTTGTTGAAATACACGCGTTTCGTGTTTAGATCGAGCAAAGCATTATTTGGTGTTAAAAAGTAAAAGCCTAACAGAGGTCTCAGAAGAAAGATAGAGCCTAAAACCAATCAATAATATTGAGAGGTTTAGTTTGATCAGTTATACAACCAGTAGCTGTTACTGGGCGTAAAATTAAACAGTCGGCTTTAGTGCTGAGTTTTGTAAGTTCTTGTATGGTGAGAGATAATTATGATTAATAAAAAATACCCAGGTTTTATCATAATGTATTTTTATTGGTTGAAATAATTAGTACATGCGGTTCAAATTACATTTCAAATAACTTAATTTAATTTCTTTGGAATTATGAATAGTTAGTGGTAACAAGAAATCATTAATTATGCAACCCGGTAGAGATGTTGTTTGTGAACAAACAATTTATACGTTTATATTTTTATTGCGGAGTACCACGGAGTTCCTACACATAAAATAACACCGCGGCTTTCCTATAATGTTGTAAAATTCATTATTGTTACATCATCGGTTTTATTTCCGAGTTGTTTCATAGTTCCTATTAGTTATTAGTTAATCTTTGGTTTTGAGGTCGTAACTGTCAATTATATGATTATTGGTAGTCGAGGTCAGTGCGTGTACGATGTCTGTTTGTTTTAGATGATGACCTTAGATAAAATTATAGGTATACTGTTGTTTGTTCTGGTTTGTTATACTTATTTACTTAATTGTGATCAATATATTTTTATAAAGCGGGTTCTTGGTCTATAATTATTAATAAAATTCCTATTTGTTTTAAAAAGTGTTCGTATTAATTTTTCTAGAGGCAATGGACAGTGATATGAATGCCTTAACCTAAAGCTTCTGTATTTTCTTAAATATATTCATCAATTGAGACCAATCTTATGTGAGAAACTGTTATGCTAACCGCCAACCAAATTCATTCACTCACTTTCTCTAAAACGTTTTTGTTAGTAATTTTTGGTAATCTATCCCTGATAGAAAAATATCTATATCTTGAAAAACCCAGACGAGCTCCAATTACCATATTCCAGTTTCCAGCCCTGTTTTTATCCGTTAGCCAATTAATCTATCAGACGCCTAACTGCCTTACACTCGGCTGGGTTTACATCTTCCGCGCGATATCCTCCACCGTTACCAGGCATCTCTCTATCGTCTATTTTTGAGACGGTAATATCCCATCTTAATTATACTAGTCTGCTTTATGAAATCGGTGCATTGATTAGATCTTTTTAGTGTCCGGGTTCTATATGGAATGTTCTATGAACATTGTTTTTGAAGCATTCTATTTATTGTGTATGAAAAAGTCGATTAAAATATTTTTATGTCTGAATTATTTTCATATAAATATTTTTGAAGACTGTGCAGTCTATAATGGTTTGTTTTCTTTGTTACAGGTTCTTAGCCATTTGGTGGCCGCTGAAATGTCAAATCACCAAACGGCGAGCGAGGATGATGATTGTCTTCATCTGGATTTTCGCCATCAGCGTCACCACACCATGGGTATTCTTCTTCGATTTAGTTGTGGTCTTCGACGAAAGCCCACATGTCCGGCTATGCCTTGATGTCTGGCCAAACCCAATCAGTGAAGTTCTCTATTTCGTGATCGGAAACCTCATCTTCTGCTACATACTCCCCATGGTTCTCATCACCATGTGCTACATTCTCATCTGGATTAAAGTTTGGAGAAGATCAATCCCCACTGACACCCAAGATGCTCAGATGGAAAGAATGCAACAGAAATCTAAAGTCAAAGTTGTTAAGATGCTAGTCGCTGTCGTCATACTTTTCGTCTTGTCTTGGTTCCCACTGTACCTGATCTTTGCAAGGATTAAGCTGGGAGGACCTATCCAAAAATGGGAGGAAGAAATGTTCCCTGTTGTAACACCTCTAGCCCAATGGCTGGGCGCCTCAAACTCTTGCATAAATCCCATATTATATGCATTCTTCAATAAGAAATATAGAAAGGGTTTCGTAGCCATTATTAAGAGTAGGAAATGCTGTGGAAGGCTACGCTACTATGAGACCATCGCTCTGCAATCATCGAGTACATCGACGAGGAAGTCTTGGCATTATAACAATAACAACCACCCGTCAATCACTCGACGATCGCCTCCCGTCGACAAGAACGCAGTGTCGTTCATATTCAACCACACGGGAGTGTAAGCGGTCGTGAGGTGTGCTTTGGATTTCGAATTAGAGCCTTGGTCGGCTTTGCGTCGGGCACTCGGGCCGTGGGCGGCCACAGCTAGCGACGCGTCTCAGCATATCGACACATACGACATTTCTATTGTACGTTTTAATTTCAACAGTTTGGTGTTGTCTTGTGCGAGAACAGTTAATGACTTTCAAACTAGCATAGAGTACTTAAGTGAACATAATCAGTGTTTTAATAATGCTAGTAGTTGTAACTTGTAACTTTTATACGTAAGTCGGTTAAAATGTTTTAAGGAGATTTTATTTTTACACTGATCGTAATAATGTTAGGAGCGTATGGAAACGCACATCGAGCACAAAATGTAAATCGAGTTTTATATTTTTTCTTATTATATCTTATATACTGATTATATTGTATTACCTTCATGTATTTCAGTTACATGATTTTAATCCAGTACAAATATTTATGCCTTGCTTTTATGTATGGAATGGTTTTTACTTTTATTATTTCCTAAATTGAATAATTCCATATCTCTTTTGACGTTGTATACATACATACGGGTAACTTATTAACATTTTGTACAAAAATATAAAAAAATCAAATACAAAATTATAAACACTGAAACAAAATACTCTATTGACAGTACAAAAATAATTGTGTAACACTTGATAGAAGATAAGCTTTTCATAATATACCAACAGTTTTTCGTATTTTCAGTTTATGGTATTTATTTGGAAAGGTTAAAGGTTATTATTTACTGGTTAATTATGCATGAAGTTTACACACTAGTCAGTCAGTCAGTCAACCAAAGAAATACTTATGTTAGATAGATTTTATTTGACAAAATGGTTACTAGAGAATTTAGAAAATGCGCTATATATAAATAGATTTAAAGTAGTTATTGCGGTGGCAATAAGTTTGTTAAATGCTCGTTAAAAGTGTGACTAGTTTCTTGGACAAATATTTAAAGTTGTTGATAAAGTTTTGGATTTTTGACGTGGACATGTTTTCCCATACATAAAATGATGTGAAATAATCATAATTTTCAACGTTATCCTTATATTCCGATCATTAACATGGTGAAATAATTGGTTGATATTATTAAAATTTTTCAATTTTTTTTAGCTGACAATTTTGATATTCAAAATGTCTATTTATCAGATTCTAGCATGTCCATGTCAAAACGAACGTCGACGAGCTTCGTAAGTAAGTCTTTATAGTAAGGAGACCTAGGTCTCAAATATAATTATACCCTTCGTATATAAAGAGTCTGCGCTAAGCACAGGCTATTAGCCGCTTATAATGCACAAAAAGATATTAACGATATATTAATAACAATAAGGATAATATAATGTAATAACGATATAACTATTGTATATTTTTAAAATAATATACCTACCTATTATTACGATGTGAGAAATAAAAATATTTTCGATATTATTAGGTTAGTTATACTGTAGATATTGAAATAAACGTGAACATTTGCATGTTTTTATCTACAAAAATTATTTCAAATTAGGTAAATTCATTCCTGAGTTTATTATTCGATAGTCGAATACCTTGTTTATTTTGTAGGAATTATTAATTTAAATTAAATAGTAATACGTGACATTAAGTCATGTTTTATTGTTTATTTTTAGTATTTCCTTATTATTTGTATTTTTATTTCTCATAAAGATTCGTCGTTATAATTGTAACAGTCGTATATAATAATTGCATGACATTATATCCTAATATAATATTGTTTTACCTCCTAGATGTTTTCAATAACAGCACTTTCATAGACGATATTTAGAAGTAATGTTTTATTTTTAACAAAACGAAAAAAATACAAAAATATTTTTCTACTAAATAATGAAAAACTTTGACAGAAAGTGGTCACAAATAGTTAATAAGGATATTTCTTGTGCAGTTTCCTCTTACTTCACTTTTTTCGTGTTTTATGTTATTTTTCCTGCACTGCAGTGTATTTGTAGGCATTTATTTTGTTCGTGTAGGATATCAATGACAAAGTCGAAGCTTGCAAGACTGATTGCTGGTAACTCCTTCAAAAGGACAATTCGTGTGATAGAAAAATGGATTTTGAATTCGACTATTTTTGTAATTTAAGCTTAACCCTAGCTTATTGATCTGTTTGTTTTAATTTTCTATACTTTTAAAGCTTTCTATTGTGTATCTAAATTGTTGTTATAACCAATTTTTTGTGTCGTCTTGAGATCTTTTGAATACTATTTTGTGTGCGATACTAATAAATATGAAATCGAATAAAACGGAATTTAAGGCAATATATAGTGAGGGTAGAAACATGCTGAGCATGTCATCTTGAGTAAGTACTTGAGAATGGTGAAACGATAAATGTTACAGTCACGCGAGGAGTGCGGCTGCGGGCAGTCAACTCCGAGGCTGGTAGCTATTTGTATAAAAAATGTCATACAAATCGGTCCAGTAGTCTAAGATGACATACAGGCAGTTTTTTACTCAAAGTGGCCCACAGCAAAATAACAATTTTGATGTAAATTAATTTCATTTATCATTTTAAGTTTTAAATGTGGGCTTGCAAATATTTGTATATCACACAGTAACATTTGTATAGAGATTGTTATCATTATATACCTAATATTATAATAGTAACATTTTCACACATTTAATATCGATATTAAATAAATATTTACTATCATTGTGATTTCTTTAACTGAGGCTTAATAAACACGTAGAAATCTAATGCTAATGATATATATTTCTCGATATTTGTACCAGAGTGAGTGGAAAGTTTAAGGATTATGTATTGAACAATAACATAGCACAAATATTAATGTAATTGCTTTAAATCGGCTGTAGACAAGTCAATATCTCCAGCTTAAACTTAGCTTTATCTTGTTTGCACAGAAACATTGTGATTCGCGATTTTTTACTAAGCCTCAGATAAATTCGCGTGTTAAACCTATAAACGTAATTATTCCAATAATATAATATATACCACGTACTCGTATAACTACTATAAATAGTTTTATACTAATAAATGTCTACTACGAATGTTATTTTATAATAACGATTGATTTATAATTATATTATACATAATTATATAATTATACTATATTTATATACAAAATAATTGGTAAAACGTAATTCTATGTAAATAAATTGAATTAGAACAATAAATATTATATTATTGTGATTAAATTATTGTTTATTATGTTTGTATATTAGAAGCGTTTCTGTATAATATCGCTGTTGTTCAGTTGCCGTGTTTGGTGTTAGATAATAGTGTTTAATATAATAATTATTATATGTAATTATAATAATGTGAGACCTGATTTAGACATTAAATTATTAATTCATACCTATAACTAAATAATTCTTCTCGTAATCTTAACCTGTTTGATGTTATGACAAATTGTAATAGTTATTTCATTAAAATGGTTTAATAATGTAGTATATAGTATAACGCTTGTAGTATAGCCGTTTAATAGAATTTGTAAATGTATAAATTATACTGTACATTTATGTAAAAATAGAGGTTTGATGTTTTAAGCAATGTTAGGTGATTTTTAGAAGTTTAGTAAGCTTTTTTAGTGGACACTGCTAATTTTACTATGAGACATAATAAGTATAGTAACATCTTGATATATGATAAAAATACGTAACAACAAGAATGTCCATAATAAAATTAGCAGGTGAAATATATTTCGATCAACACAAGATTCCTATGTATTGTAACAGAAGCAATTTTTGACATATGAAACTTTGACTATATTCCGTACAATTTACCAACATATCAATGAAGTAACCTCCCAGTTTGTCGTCGTCGGTTAATATACGTACGAGTTTTATAAGAGCAGAATACTATAACAATAATGGTTTTGTCATTTTTCTATTTAGGATGAGAGCGTTCTACTTAGGGAGTTTCCTTTCGAGCGAAGAAGTCCGGAGTCTGCTATGATTAGTATCAATTTGTTACATGTAGTCTAGATTTGTTTCACTGCTAGTTTTCTTCTGACAAATTGGTCCATTTTGGTAAATAAGTAGCTTATAAATCAGGTTTTCGTAGATCGTATGAACCCGAGACGTTTGGTTAGTGATTTTGTCAGAAACTCATATATATATGTATTATCATATTTAGTTACCTCCTGTACCTATTTCTTGAAGTAGAACCTACTCCTAAAATAATTAAACATGTTTTAAATATATAAAACTCGAATAATTTATTAGCAAAATTGTATTCCAATTATTTTTTTATTGTAGATGTAGGTCTTCATTTGTTATTGTAGTAGTAAATAATTTTGTTTCGTTTTAGTCAAATTATAATTATATTTATCAGGGTTATATTAGATGAAATTAGTATTCTCTTAGCAAATTGATGCGTCAATTGTTTCTTATTATATTATCATTATTTGCTTACTTGTATCGTAGATTATTTACGTTGATTATTGTTTAAATAAAACTAGTTTTTAATGCACAAACTAGAATTTACTTAAGTAAAGTATGTATTTGAATTGTTGTTTTAATTATTATTATTATTGAGATTGTAATTTGTTGTATGATTTTAGAATTTGTTATTACTAGAAGAGGTTATGTTTAATTTTATATATATTTATGCAGATTTTGCTATTAGTGTTATTTAAGACGTTGCAGAGTGTTTAGCCGTGGCGTAACTAAATAGTTGTTTTCGCAGTTACAGCTGTAGGTAACAATTCATATTGGATTAATATTAACCTAACATGCAAACACTATTGTATGTCAAGTAAATAAAATTTGAAAAATATTTTACTCTTGTTTTATTGCATATTCATTACCTACGCCTGCCTGATTTTCATGAAAAAGCTAGCTGCTATATAGGTATACATTTAGGGCAGTAGTCAGTAATATCTACCTACACACCTACAGGTACCTGTTATTCTAGTTATGTTATTTGTTCCATATACAAGTGAATAAGACAGGTATTTGTATATTTATAATAGGTTATCACAATAATTATCTTCTACATTTTATTATATAGTGCTGTCTTCAGCACAAACTCTTGTTTTTACGCATTAATCTCCGAAACTACTAGTCCGAATTGAATAAATTTTGGATAGTCAATTTGCGAAGAAGATTATAGGCTACAAAACATCACGCTACAATCAAAGGGAGCTGAGCAGAGGGTAAAACTGCACCGGAGTCTCTAGTATGGTATATATTATACTGATCAGGGCTGTGCTTGTCAGTTTTTCATTAATACTCATAATCTACAGAGCAAAATGTGTAAAGACGCATTGCTATAATATTATTGTGACCATATACAAAAAATATTAGCAATGCAACATTTTGCAGAATCCCTCGGCAGAAATAAAGCCCATAGACTGATTAGTAAATAATAGAAGAATTTTAAGATTATAGTATTGATAAAATAGTGCTGGTGGCTCACCGGTGCA